GACTTTAGTATATAGCAATAACTATAACAACTAGAACTTAGTTGAGTACTTTCTCTGTGCCAGGCAGTATTGCAAGCTCTTTATGAGTTAACTCATTTAATCTTCACAACAACTAGAAGAGGGTAGCATTATTATTATTATTATTATTATTATTATTATTATTATTATCCATCTGTTACAGCTGAGAAAACAAGGCACAGAGAACTTACATAACTTGCCCAAAGTTAAAATAGCTAGCAACTGGCAGAACTCCAGATCACCACTATGAATTAAACTGCTTAGTATTTCTTCATTATATGGATCCAGTTTGCTTTAGATGGACATTGTTTCTATTTCTAGTCTTTTCTATTATAAGCACTATTTTAGTGAATATTAACATATTCATATACAATGAATAGACATTTACACACTATATCAGGTGAAGATGCACATGTGGGTAATTGAGAGGACAGATGCTAGAACCAGACTATCTTCTCTGTTCCCAGTTTCTGCCATTTACTAACTGTGGGAACTTGAGCAAGTTACTTGACCTCACTTGGTGTCCCAGTTTCCTTATCTATAAAATAATACTTACTTCATAGGGCTGTTGTGAGAATTAAGTGGGTTAATATTTGTTAAGCATTTAAAACACTGCTTGGCTCATAGTATTAGCATTTGTACATAGCATAGTATTAGTTCACACAGAGTACATAGCATTTATTAAATAAAATATATCATTTTGCATGTGTGTGAGTTCATCTGCAGAATATGTAGAATTGCTGAGTCAAAATGTTAGGAACACTTAAATTTTGATGGTTATTGCTAAACTGTTTTCCAGAGAATTGATTACCAATTTTCATTCCTGCCAGCAATGTATGAGAGCTTGCCAGTCGCCTTACATTCTTACAACAATGTTTAATTGAACTTTTTGATCTTTGTCAATCTAAGGTGAAAGTGATAGTCTCACTGGACATTTTAAGTGCAGTTAACCATCTTATATTGAAGAGTCCTTTTCTTCCCTTGAATTGTCTATTGATATTCTTTATTCACCTTTTATCTATTGTTTGTTGGTCTTTCTCTTTTTAATTTGAAGGAACTCTTGCAAATATTTTTTCCCAGTTTATCGTCTTGACTTTGTTCATTGTGTTTAGTCAGCCTTTTGTTATATGGCCTCTGGATTTCAGGTCACAAACTTTTCAAAATTGATGAAAATTCTCAGCTATTTAAAAATATTACCCTTTCTCTATACTTTCCTTATGGAATGTCTATCAGAAGTATCTTCTGTCTTCTCTCACTTTATCCTACACATCCTGTAGACTTAAAAAATAATTTCAGGGTGGGTGCCTGGGTGGCTCAGTTGGTTAAGCGACTGCCTTCGGCTCAGGTCATGATCCTGGAGTCCCGGGATCAAGTCCCACATCGGGCTCCCTGCTCAGCGGGGAGTCTGCTTCTACCTCTGACCCTCTTCCCTCTCATGCTCTCTATCTCTCATTCTCTCTCTCTCAAATAAATAAGTAAAATCTTTAAAAAAAAAAATAATTTCAGGGATGACTGGGTGGCTCAGTCGGTTGAATGTCTGACTCTTGATTTCCGCTCAGGTAGTGATCTCAGGGTTGTGGGATTGAGCCTCACATGGGGCTCCATGCAGGGCGTGGGGCCAGCTTGTCCCTGTCCCTCCCCACTTCCTTACTCTCGCTCATTCTCTCTCTCTCTCAAAAATAAATAAAATATTTTTAAAAAATGTTTAAAAGAACAATTTCCATGTCTGTTTCTTTGTGCTACATTCTTGGTAACTGCAGTGTTTTTAGATCATTATATCTCTCTGTGTCTAATTGGCTTTTGGACTGATTAAGAGAATCTTTTCTAGGCTGCGTTGTAGACATGTTCCTTCAGCAATTTTGTATTTGCTTCTGTCAGGTGCTCTAGAGGTTTCTCTGAGATTGAACTAATTTTTATGTTAACTTCTCAGCCCAAGGGTTCCCAGAACATTTAGGTGTAGGATAAATTCTCAAATCCTCTACCAACTCAGTACTGTGGTTAGGAATTCTTGGGAAAGACTTGTCCAGCCCACTCCTGTGTACCCACCTAGAGCCCAGACCAATCTTAAAGATGTTTCATTGTCTTATCCCTTCTCCTGTATAGTCCTTTGAGGGACCAGCTTTATGCACTGATATATATTTTATTATATATATATTGCTTCTAACTTCGTAAGTTAAAACCTAAATTCTTGGATTACTGAAACTCACAGTCCCTTTCTGCCCCAGAATAACTCTAGGTAGTTACATGAATTCAGGTGCTCTCTGCTCTTTGTATCTGGCTCCTGGACAAATCCTTTACTTTGTACACATGAATATGCATTTAAATTTTTGTTACATAATGCCTGACCTTGAAATGTTTATTATATATATAATAAATGAAGTTCTTATTCTTTTAGCTAGGATTATAGATTTTGAAGCTTAGAGTTGTCTGGAAGTAAACATACTAAAATAATCATTTGTTATCGCACTACACAAGTCAAGGATTAAGTTTTGACATATTTCTTTTGAATTGACTAATTTTATCTGTTAATTCTCATGTCAAGGGGCTTAAACCTTGGTACCCTTTCTTGAAAAAGGTGAATGTGGTGACTTGGGAATATTTAAAATGCCAATTCGTCCACCAAGTTTCTTTGTTTGATTTTCTTTCAGCCAGCAAATACTGCAAAATGTTAGTTGAAGAAGAAGGATTGCAGCTTTTGTGTGACATCCAGAAGCACAGTGAGGCAGACCCCCAAGCACAGCAGATTGCAGCCTCCATTCTAGATGACTTCAGAATGCATTTCATGAACTATCAGAGACCCCTTCTGTGTTGAATGCCCTTAACCTCTGGGGCTTCAGAGGTGCTCTCTGTTCTCAGTGTCAGGACTTCTGCCTTGCCAGTAATTGAATGTTGAAACCAGTTTTCATTGGAGTTTGTGAGTTGGTCACCACACTGGCCTTTTATTGTTGATTTTCTGTAGGCTACAAAAAGGTTGGATTTGAATGGTAGCCATAATCCCAAATCAAGTTGGAATCATTCTGAGAGCACCCCTTCAATAGTTTTGCAAAATCAAAAAAAAACAAAAAAACAACAGTTTTGCAAAATCAAGTCTCGGACTCTGTGGGAAGGTCTGTGAGCTTGTGTTTCAACAGCCCTGCCAGTTACTTTTCCTAACCCTGGCCGGTTTCTTAACTGTGGGGGTTTCTTAACTGTGGGGGTTTGTCAGACGAAGGGGAAAGAAAGACCAACAGGGAGACCTTCATATTTGTGTTAAATTTCATGTTTGAAAGAATATCCTGAGTTGTTACTCCTAGTTATGTGAAGCTAATAGAAAAGAAGTACATGAAAAAGTTCTGGGAAATACATGCTTATTGGGAGGCAGAATCTCCATTAGAGGGGAGGAACAAGGTGGGGGGAATTTTTTTAAAATATATATCAAAGTATCTTCCACTTGGGGTAGAGGGAAGAAAAATAACCTTTTTTTTTTTACAATTTTGTATATTCTGCCTCTGGCCTTTCTTCCTCCAACTTTACACATTAGACTGAGTGAACATAGCATTCTATGTAAGTGGGTGTGGTGGTGCTGGAAAATAGTAGAATTTAGGACTTCAAGTAGCATGTTTAGATGAAGATTATATAGGGACTGTAAATCTTGATCCTGTAAGGTTTTGATTTTAGTGGGACTGTGACCAACCCAGGAGGAGGAGGAAGCCAGAAAAAAGACTTTGCTATAGATTTCAAGAGTGCTCTTGCCTAGAATGGAGGCAAGAAAAATAGGGGCTTTTGAGAACCAACCTCAACTGCAGTATACAGTAGCAGAAGCTTCTGTTTGTGTCCTTTGCAAACCTCCTCTGTGGAACAGAGTATCGATTCCTTCCTTATTACTGACAGCTAACGAAATGTGTCTTGCCATTTATCTGTCCAAAGAACAAAAGTAAATTCCTTTTTGATGAGTAGCATATTTTCATACTAGATACTTGTGCTTTTAGCTGGCCAGACTCTTAACTGGAGTACTGTATACCATCTCTTGGAATCAAATGAGGCTTACCCTTACTCTGAATCATATTCCAGATTCTTGCTCACCAGTGTCCCACTGGATAAAGGGCATTTGTAACCTGTTTCCTTCTACAGTTCTGAAACTGCACCGTATTTTCTCTTATTCAGGGTTCTGCATAATTCCAAATGGCTGTCTTCATTTCCTGACCTGGGTTCTAGTACTTTAGAACATTCTGTTACCAGATACTAGCTCATGCTACTGTGAGAATGTGGTAGGAACTGGTGCCTGTTGAGGCACCCCTCCAAGTTTCATTTCATTCACAACAGTCCTCTGGGATAGATAAGTTGTATTCTCCTCATTTAACAGATGAGAAAAAGGACGTTCAGTAAGGTTGTTACTTTCCGGAGTAGTTACAGCTAATGCATAGTTCCAGCTAATATGGTTGGTTCTGGTTTTATGGCCTGGACTTTTCTCTTACTCTTCCTTCCAGGAAAAGAGCACCCAGCCTTGGGCACACTTATATTTAGCAGCATATCAACAATGCGGGGGAGGGAGTATATATCTGTGCCCTTCGCTTAGTGTCTCTAGGTCAGGCCTAGGCCCGGGAAGCTCAGATGAATTAAAGAATGGCCATAAGGCCGCAGCGTAAGATGCAGCCTTCTCTACCTTGGTCCAAGAGGAGGGCTAGCTAGTGTGCATATGTATTTATCAGGCCCCATCATTTCTAAGTGTGTCGTCCTCTTGCTCACCTTCACTCTTGCTGTTCCCCCTCAGCCCTCTTCTCCTTGCCACAAATGTCTGTTGAACCTTCAGGCTTCACTCCAGTGTTACCTGCCCATTTCCTTTGTTCTCTCCTTCAGACTTAATGCTCCCTTCTCAGTACTCCTGAGGGCTATGTACTTCAGCCATCGAAGATTGCCTGCCACCCTATAGAGTTCACAAAAAGTTTTCTCAGTGATAATTTCATTTGGTTCTATTAAAAACACTGTACATTAATCATAACTCAGGTTTATTGAACATGAAGCCATAGGCTTTTTTTTTTAATCCTCACAGCAGTTTCATTTTGCAGATGAGGAAGCTGAGGCACACAATGAATGGCAGAGAGCTGGGATCTGCAGTCTGATTCCTGATGCCTGTTAGCCACTACCAGGGTTTCTGTATTATCTCTGTTGTACAGAGGAAGAAACTGGAGGGTTCTTACAACCTTTTGCCATCTCTGGTGAGCACCCGATAACTGAGAGGCAGAGGTCAGGCCTGAGAGCCAATAATACAAAGGCCCAGAGTGGTCTGTTTTAATCCTTAGTTTACCATTTGAGTAGGGAGAGACATATTCTCCAAAGCCAACTTGACACCAGTGATTATCTAGCCAGGATGAGGAATTATGAATATAGCTGTAGGTGGCATGGGCAGGACCTTGGTATCAAACACCATTCCAGTTTTATATCTGTCCTTGTCCTTGTGAGGAGACTAAAGCCCAGAGAGGTGAAATGATGAACGGTCACCCTGCAAATTTTCCTTTTGGATCCTGCCCTGGAAGGCAGGCGTCTCCCACGCTTATAGTTAAATGGGAGTCACTTGCCAACAAATCTGGGGGGCCGCTTCTCCCTGAAGGCTGCCATGCCCTCTAGGCGGTCCTGAGTGGGGATGTTCTGAAACAACAAGACAGAGTATTAATTTTGCGGGGAGCTGCAGGGCCAGAGGCCAATAAAGACTTGCTCAAACTTGTCTACCCCCTGACAAGGTCAGAGTCCACGTCTTTCCATTGTCTCTTGACTCTGGTAATGGGCCAGGCAGAGGTATGGGCCTCAGTGCCTCCTTGGTTTCCTGGGGAAGGCAGGCCACATCTCTAGCATCTGTGGCCTATCACATTAGCCTCCTGCACACTGCTTACATGCCTCCAGAGAGATGATAGTCTGCAGCAGTCTGATATGCGGCTGCTTAGTAGAGAAAAACAGTTAAGTTTTGCAGTAAGAAATCTGGCTTTGCGTCTGGTGTGTAGTTAGTTCACACCAGGTTCTGCAAGTTCCAGGACTCCTTGTTTAAGAGTACTGTGGATGTTTGTTAAACTCTAGAGATTAGTATTTTTGACTCACCCAGGAGTCCAGGGCTAAATAAGTCAGCCCCAGGTCACCCCCACCCCCACCCCTCCTTCCCCCTCCTTCGCCCCCCTCACCCCCATTGAACACACAGCCTGCAGGCTATAACCAAGGCCGTGACATCCCAACTCCAGCCTGGCCTCTACAGCAGCCACTGGTACAGAGAGTAGAAGTGGTGCTTTGTCAAGTACCTACCTGTGTGCTCTGTGAGTCTGTGTGCACCTAGTGTGGCAGGATGTACCACTATTAGATGGCTGAGGAAACAGTCCCAGAGAGAAGCAGTGTGGTTTCCCTAGGACTGCCCCAGGCTAATTCTAAGAGGGAGTGGTCCAGAGTCTAACTCTTCAGGTTAGGAGGAACCTACTAAATTGGTTATGTATGGCACAAGGCTTCCCACTTTGGCCTGGCCTCTGCTTGGAAGTGTGCGCGGACTGGCAGCAGTCACATACCTGGGCATAGCATATTCCTTCAATGGCCATCCCTGATGAGATGTCCACCTGTGAAAAAGAAGTGGTGCCTTGATCAGCCTGACCTTAGCCACCTCCGTCTGCACTGGGTGCCAGCCCACCCTACTGCCTATACCCCCATTCCCTACTGTTCATGGATTGGTCTGGTGCAGTATTACTGAGGCTTACTGTATGCTAGTCCATCTGGACAGAGATGATTATGATAAGGCAATTCCCACCTGGAGAGGTTTAACACCATTTGTAACAGTGATAAAACAATGTTGGGACAAAGGGGTGGGGGTGCTTTGAAAACAGCAGGGAGGATGGCACTCGGCCTGGAGAGCTGAGGAGGAGGGTGAGTGTGAGCTTTGCTTGCACAGCCAGTGGCCCCTCTTCGCATCCGGCCGCCTCTCCATGCCCCGGTCCCTCCTGGTAAGGGAACTTCATAGGCTTTCCGTTGCCCTGAGGAATAATGTCCTAGGCTTCTATGGCCGGGCCTCTGGCAACTTTCCAGCCTCTACTGCCCAGTGCTTACTGCTCCTACCACTTATAAGCCCTGTTCTAAGAGAAGTACCTTGTGTGTATGAACTCATCTACTTTTACAGCGAGGGTTATTATCCCTACTATACAGCTGAGAAAACAGGCATAGAAAGTAAAGGTCACAACAGTATATGGAAAAGCAGGTCTTTGAACCCAGACAGGCTAGCACCAGAAGCCTTTGCCCCTACCTTCTGTGCTATGTAGTTTCACTCATTCCTTACTCCCATTCAGTCAAGTTGCTTGTTTATACACTTCTGTGCTTTTGCTCATACCATTCTTTTTCTCAAACCCTAATCCTTCCCAAGGCCCAAATCTACAAAACATCTCTAACCCAACACTACCCAGTAGTAGCCACTAGCTACATTGATATCATAGCTCTCACCCTTCCAGGGTATCTTCTTGATACTCCCCTTTTTTTAAGTAACCTCTGTACCCAGTGTGGGGTTCGAACCCACGACCCCAAGATTAAGAGTTGCATCTTACTGACCAAACCAGCCAGGCATCCCTGCTTGGTATCCTTAACCTTGTATTAGTGATTCTGTGTGTATCTGTCCTCTCTCCACCTTGGTGACAGTGACTGTATTTAACTGATCTCTGTGTCCCAGTTCTCAGCTCAGGTCTAGATTCAGTGTGTAACGAGTGAATTGATGAGTAAGTTGTCTAAGGATGGATTAGTTTGCATCCAAGACACCACCCTGAGCTCTATCCTTGAGGTCACCTTTACCACCAGCACAAACCCGAGAACATGGTTTGGGAGCCACACAGAGCTTCGTTCTTATTACTCACTTACTCTATGACCCTAGACAAGTCATTTACCCTTTCTGGACCTCAATTACCTTCTCTCTAACAGAGAGAGATGAAGATAAAATGTAATTCAGAATGTCATCTGGCCAAACTTTACATTTCATGGATGGGTAAACTAAGGCACAAAGAGAGAGGTCAGACTCAATGTCTGTTAGAAGAGTCCCGTTTATGAGTTTTTCCAGCTGTGCTTTTAGCCTGCATTGGTATGAAAGCACTGCCTCCTAGCCACCCCACTGACTTTAGTGGACCCAAGTCCTGACCCAGAACCTGCTTACCTCCATTCCTCTATCAATGGCTACTTTGCCCAGCCGCACAGCAATGGGTGCCTAGGGAAAAGAAAAAAGAAAAGGCTTGGTTGAGGGGATTAGTGCTGATAGTTGGCGGGGGATGGGGGTTTGGAATAAAGAGAGGGACACAGCTTCGTGGTGGGGGAAGAGTCATGGACAGGTAGATCGGTCTGGGTCAAGTTCCAGCTATTCTACTGACTGTTACATTTTGTTAGTGTTAGTACCTACCACTTCTTGGTTGGTAGTCTTTTTTTTTTTTTTTTAATGTTCAGTTAGCCACCATATTGACATTCTTACCTATAATGAAGGAAGCCTGACTGATCCCTGATCCTCCCAATTCTGACTATCTGAGGTTCTTGTCGTTTAATCCAGCCCACCAATGTGTATAACATGCTACCATTTTCAAAGTGTTTTCCTACCCACAGACTTGTCTAATGGTGCTACCCACCCTTCAAGGATGGTGCCATCTTTAATTGAGGCTCAGGGAGGTGAAGCACTTGGCCATGTTTGTCCAAAGAGTGACACTTGGACACCTTTCCCACTGTTGCTCTGTTCCCCTACCCCTCTCATCTTGGCAGATAGAAAAGCCTCCACTGCAAGAAGGTTTCATCCCAGCAGAGTAAACAAAAGGTCAAGATTAGGAACTTAGGCTTTGTGGAGTCTGACCGGCCTGGGTTGAGAGCCCAAGGGGCCATTTTACACAGCCACTTGGAAGCAAGTGCATCAAAGTGGCCACCTTTGCTTCACTGATCTTGCTTCTAATTAACTTGTGCTGCTACAGGGCCTGGCACTCCATGCCCAGCCTCACTTCCTGGCAAAGACTGCATTTACTTACTCTGTTGCTTGTATTGTATTATTTGAGGTTTTTGTAAGTACAACTTTCTCAGAAAAAAAGATTTTTAAGTCTGTTAACATAGAAGCTATAAATGAAAAAGCTAGCTACATAAACATGAATGACCTCCTGTAGGGAAAAATGCCATGAATAAAAGACAAAAGTAAAAAACTGAGAAGATTTGTGATGCTTCTTTTTTTTTTTTTTTTTAAGATTTTATTTATTTATTTGACAGAGACACAGCGAGAGAGGGAACACAAGCAGGGGGAGTGGGAGAGGGAGAAGCAGGCTTCCTGCCGAGCAGGGAGCCCGATGCGGGGCTCGATCCCAGGACCCTGGGATCATGACCCAAGCCAAAGGCAAACGTTCAACAACGACTGAGCCACCCAGGCACCCCTGTGATACTTCTGACCAGCAAATGTCCTTGATTTACAAAGATCTGGCATAATTTTTTAACAAATAATTCACAAGGGTAGTTCACAGAAAAGGGGATATAAGCATAAGGATTTTTTCAGTTTTACTCTTAAAGAAATGTAGCTCAAAACCATGAGGTGCCCCCTTTCACCTAAGAATAGGTAAATCGTAAAATGCTGATGATGCCCACTATTGCTGAGATTCAGGAAATAGGTATTTGCGTACATTATTAATAGAGTAAATTGGTACAGTGCTTCTGAAGGCAACTTGGCAAGAACTGGCAAATGTTATTAGATGGATGTATGTACCCTGATACTGTAATTCTATGTAGGAATCTACCTTACAGAGGTACTTCTAGAAGTACATGAAGATGTTTAGTTATACACTCCAGCTATTTTGCAGTAGCAAAAAGCAACATAAATGTTCATTATTAGAGTACTGGTTAAGTAATGATGGCACATCTGTACTGTGAATGAAAAAGTGTGCAGTTATTTAAAAGAATGAGGTCAGTAAGTACGTGCTGAAATGGGAAACTCCAAAATATTGGGTGAAAAAAATGAAGGTGCATACTAAGTATGTATATTGTTATCTTGTTTGTGTAAAAGATGTTGGCATGACATGCCTTTGGGAAGAGGAGAATGGAGAACTTCATTTTTTGTTTTATACTTTTCCAAACTGTTTGAATTCTTTACTATGTGTATTTTAATTTCATGTTTTTCAAATGTCTCTTAGAACTGGATTAGCCTCTAAAGGTGTGTTCCTTGTCCCCCAAACCATCTTAAAAGGAATTCAGAGTTGTTTAGATATGTGAGTATATGTGCATAATATATATTCTTATATATACAATGAAAATTTCTGGAAGAGTGTGTAAGTTGACAGTGGTCATCTCAAAAAAAATAAAACAAAACAGTGTTCATCTCTGGGGAGAGGGATTGGGGAATTGAGAGCTGTTTTGGTGACCACCTATCCTGGTTTGCCAGGAACTGAGAGTTATCAGGATGTGGGACTTTCACTTTTAACCGGGGCAGCCTTAGGAAGACAAGGTCACCTGGGTCACCCTACCTTTTTTTTTTTTTTTTAAGATTTTATTTATTTGAGAGAGAGAGCGAGCACAAGCCGGGGTAGAGGGAGCAGAGGGAGAAGCAGACTCCCTGCAGAGCAGGGAACCCAATGTGGGACTCAATCCCAGGACCCTGGGATCATGATCTGAGCTGAAGGCAGATGCTTAACTGAGCCACCCAGGCACCCAACCCTATTTTTGATTTTTACTCTATGCCCTTATATTCTTCTGTTCTATTTGTCTTGCTTGTCATGAATATGCATTATTATTTAGGTAACTACCTAATAAACTGATTTCTCACCAAAGAAAAGTAAAAACTATATAGATATGGTATGTGTGTATGTGTTGAAAATATAATATTTTTTTCCTGAGTGTGTGGATATATATATACACCATTTGGCTCCCTAGTCTTGGTGGTTTATCCACTAGAGAACAGCCAACTACCACACCATCCCCAACACTCACCCCATCCAGGAACCCTCTCATTCTTGGCACCCAATAACTCTGCTAGGAATTAAAGATTGGGATTAGTGAATGTACAACTAATTTTTGGTAAGCTGGTGTCTTGGTATACAAAGCTACTTTTAAGTACTGAAATGCTAGTAATTATATTAATAGAATACCATTGCTTCAGTATATTAAAAAATCTGAAATCTGAATCCTCTTGCATTCAGTTCATGCAAAAAAGACAAACCCCACAGTCCCCAAGTCTAGCTTGCTATAGCCGCTGCCCCCCTTCCGCACCCGCCTGTGGAAGTGCAGTCAGCCATGTGCTACCTTGAGTCACTCAAGAGTTTTGTGTTGGTTCAGAGACTTTTTGCTCAAGTGTAACAGAAACCTGGCAGCATTAAAATGGTCTAGGTAACAGCATCAGATTCCATTTGTATGTGATGAAGAAAAAAGCAAAGACAAACGCTTTCTTTTAGACCGAACTCACTATTAATTTTTAAAAGTTACAATCTTTACCCTCAAAGAAGACCTCAAAGTTAGAACAAGAAGGATTATTTAAATTTAAGGGAGACAGATTTTTTCTGAAATGAAATACTTTAGTGATTAATTAAAATACTTTCATCTGTTAATATTAAAATAATATATGGTTAACAGTTTTATAAGCTTTTATCTTTGTTTTGTAACATGTTTAATTTTTTTGTGTTGGAAATGCATTTGATATTTAGTTTGAGTTTAATATTCTGCACTCTATTTTTTTTAAAAGGGTACTATACATCAGTAGTTCTTTTTTTTTTTTTTTTTAAGATTCTCCTCATTTATTCGACAGAGAGAGAGAGAGCACAAGCAGGGGGAGCAGCAGAGGGAGAGGGAGAAGCAGGCTCACCAAGAAGGGAGCCCGATACAGGGCTCAATCCCAGGACCCTGGGACCATGACCCGAGCTGAAGGCAGACGCCCAATGACTGAGCCACCCAGGCGCCCCCTGCACTCTTTAGAATACCAGTTTTTATATTGTATTTTGTATTATGCAAAATAAAAGCCCAAATACCAGTACTGTCTTTTTCTGGTATTGCAGTCACTTTTTTGCAACCTTGATTGAGCAAGTCACTTAATGTTTCTGGGTCTGTTATATCACAGATACAACAGGGATAATCAACTCAGCTGGACTCTACTAGTAATTCAGAGACTTTTAAAGTACATAGGATTGTGTCTGATGGATAGGAAGTGCTCCACATTGGCTAAGTCAGTATTTACTATAAATTATAAAACCTAGCTCCATTTCAAGCTGCTTTCATATGGAAACTTGGGACATCCCTCTTGGTCCTCTTAGAGTAGTAAGAAGCCAGCAGTGAGAGGCTCCCAGGTCCTTGGAGACCCCATCAGCCAGATCCTGTCCTGGTACACATAGGCTGAGTCCTAACACATGTCTGACATGATGTATTTCAGGAATTTCTCCACCCTGCAGTGTGGCTGAAAAGATAAGCTGGTTGTTCTTTATCTGCTTTAGAATTTTGCTTTTTTAATTTTTGGGACATTTTATTGCAGTACTGTCCAATATAGTAGGCACTAGCCACATGTCGCCATTAGCATCTGAAATGGGGAAGTGTAACTGAGAAACTAAATTTTTTTTGTTTTTAAGTAATCTGTACACCAGTGTGGGACTTGATCTCAAACCTAAGATCAAGAATCGTGTGTTCTACTGATTGAGCCAGCCAAGTGCCCGGAGAAACTAAATTTTTAATTCAATTTAAATATAAATCTGGGGGCGCCTGGGTGGCTCAGTTGGTTAAGCGACTGCCTTCAGCTCAGGTCATGATCCTGGAGTCCCGGGATCGAGTCCTGCATCGGGCTCCCTGCTCGGCGGGGAGTCTGCTTCTCCCTCTGACCCTCTCCCCTCTCATGCTCTCTCTCTATCTCATTCTCTCTCTCAAATAAATAAATATAAAATCTTTAAATAAATAAATATAAGTCTGGGGGGCGCCTGGGTGGCTCAGTCGTTAAGTGTCTGCCTTCGGCTCAGGTCACTGTCCCAGGGTCCTGGGATCAAGCCCCGCATCGGGCTCCCTGCTCAGCGGGAGGCCTGCTTCTCCCTCTCCCACTCCCCCTGCTTGTGTTCCCTCTCTTGCTGTGTCTCTCTCTGTCAAATAAATAAACTCTTTAAAAAAATAAAATAAATATAAGTCTGGATAAGTGGATCTTGTGTGGCCCCATGGGACATACCCCCTGGCCTCCCCACAGTTGCACCCCCCCTCCCCCATGGCACAGGCCCTCCCTCCTGTGCTGGGCTGCAACCACACCTGGGGCAGGATCTCCTGGGCCAGTTCCCGTGCCCGATGGTAGGCGGCGTTGCCCTCCTCATTCTGGGAAACAGCGTGGTTCACCAGCCCCAGGGCTTGGGCCTGTACACCACTCAGTCTTCGGCCTGTGAAGATGAGCTCCTTTGCCAGGGCCACCCCCAGGCATCGAGGCAGCCTCTGAGTCCCTCCTGCCAGGATGGAGCAGGGTTAGTAAATCCACATGGGAAGTGGGAGCCCAGAGAAGCCCAGTTTGGGAGTCAACCAAGACTTCTCAGAGGAGCAGATTCTGAGTTAGGATGGAAGGGCAGAGCCCAGAGCACAAGGCAAAAGAGGAAAGCAGGGAAGTAACCTGGAGAGAGTGGGATTAAGTAAGAGAAGGACGGGTGCAGTGGGTACAGTTACCTGCTCCAGGGAGGAGCCCTCGGGTAGTCTCGATCAGCCCCATGACAGCTGAGGAAGCTGCTTAAACAGAACAGAGTGAAGCACCCACACTATCCTGCAGTGCCAGTCCCCAGAGGGAAGAGACATCTGCCTCTAGGCTCTGCTCAGCCCTCCAGCCAACCACTTCATGAGCTGGCCACAACAGACCTCTCTGGACTCTGCCTTGGGAAGAGCCCTAGCACGGAAGTCAGGAGGCTCAGGCCCTCATCTACTTCCCAGGGGTGGAGGTATGCATCCAGGCCAATCTCACCCTGAGCCTCATTCACAGGTGGAAAAAATAGGGTTACCCCTCTCCTGCCTTCATCAGAGAGCTGCTAAGGATCAAATGAGGTAATGGTGCTTGTAACAAGGGATTCTTGGAAGTTGCCCAGTGCCTGTTAGTGGGGTAATGGATTCTCTGTCTCACTGGATGCTTGCTCCTGCTCCTACCAGTTATTCCCTCAGCTTTTCACCAGCCTGTGTTTCCCTGAGTTCCAGTCCACATCTCCTTCCGAGTTCTGTGTCCTCTAAGGAGCTCTCCTGGAGCATCCCACCCCACAGGCTTCTCCTGAATCCCCTCAGAGGCCATCTGAACCATACAGTGTGGCCACAGGGAATGGCCATTACTCCTGCCTATAAGGGGTTTTATATTCTCTCCGCTATCTACCAAAACCCTGCAAGTTAGTTGCCCTAAACATGGGCCCCTGAGAAGCAAGTTGGAGCATCACCTGACTTGGTATTTTGATGCCTTCTCATGTAGATAGAAGCTACCTCTATGCCTGGAGGTGCATATTTCTAAATGTTCTACCTGGAGTGGCAGGAGAAAGCAGCAAGGGGAAGCGAAGAGAGTGGCACCAGATAGCACTCGGACTTTTTCCAACTGCTTCCTAGAAGGGCAATCAATTATTTTCTTCCCCTCCCTCCACTCTTCAAAGCTCAACTGCTCTGAACAAGTAATGCAAACCTTGGCTGGTGCCACAGTGAACCAGAAGGCAATGTTCCTGCCCAGGTATGTTTGTGAGTAGCTGGACTGGTGACAAACTGCCCCTGTGACTGTCTTTTTGCAAAACATGACACAACAGAATTGGCTTGCATAGAACTGGAAAGTTGAACAATTAATCTTTGTCCTCAGTCTCCCCTCTCTGTCCTCTTTTTGTTCTCTAGCCAGTTGCTCTGGGGTTGGTAGAAGCATTCCTGAGATGAGGGAGGCTGGTTCTGAGCAGTGACGGGTGCTACAGTGGTCGGCAGCTGGGCCAGGAGGGGAACCAGCTTACACCCAAACTCTCTGGATCTCCCACGTCACCTTTCTCTAGTTTTGCTGCTGTTTGGAAAGCCCAGAGTAGTGGCTCACTTTGCAGAACCCCCAGACTTACTCTGTTTTACTCACGCTTGCCTCCTCACCCTACCCCACCTCTCCTCCTGCCCAGTACCTGCCACTCGGAGGTCACAGGCCAGGGCGAGTTCCAGGCCTCCGCCCAAGGCAAACCCGTCCATAGCTGCGATAGTGGGCGCAGGGAAGGCTGCTGTGGAGATGAAGAAGGGCTCAGCCTGCACGGCCCTGGCAGGACCAGGACAGGGACTCGAGGCTAGGGAGGGGCTGTGGCCTCATTGGTCCCAGGTTTGGAACCTCACCTGGTACCTCAGCCAGGTTATCTTAGAAGTAGGTTTTCCTATTGGGGAAAGTTGGGGAATCAGCCGGGGTACTAGAGTGGGGAGATGGGCTAGGTGAGCCCCGCTCAAGCCCACTTTCCTGTTGGCCTCCCCGGGACCACCCTTTCTGTTCTGTGTCAAGCCCTATACTTGGTGGGCTGGGAACATAGAACTGAATAGACATGGGGAAGGCAGACCTATAAACAGGCAATGATGAGCCAGGGTGATCAGTGCTCTGGTAAAGTTTAGAGATAAAGCTTCCTGGTGGTCTTAAAGGATAAGTAAAAAGTTCAGGTGGCCAAGGAGGGAAATTCCAGGCGAAAAGAACAGTAATTGTCAAAGCCTGAAAGCATGCTTGGTGAAATTTGCCTCCTATGGAATGCCCTCCTCCAACCCACTCCAAGAACCTCACCGATCTCATTCATCAGGCCTCGGAGCCGCTGGACAAAGATCCCCACTTCTGCCTCACTCATCTGCTCCCGCTCCTTCAGGTCTGCACCTGCAGATGGTGAGGGGTTGGTGACAGCCTTTGTGACATGACCCATTACTGAATCCCAGGCTGTTGAAGGATCCAGCCAAGAAACTTGAGGAGAAGCAGCCAGACAGGAAGGTGAAACATCAGGAAAGCATGGTCAAGGAAGCCAGGGAGGAAAGGGGGGGTTGTGTGTCAAAAAAGGACAGGTGCAACAACAACAAAAAGATAAGTTGGACATCAGAATTAAAAACTTTTGTGCATCAAGGGACACTATCAAGAGAGTGAAAAGACAACCCACAGAATGGAAGAAAATACTAGCAAATCGCATATCTGATAAGGTAGTAATAATCTAGGATACATAAAGAACTCCTTGAACTCAACAACAAAAACCACAAAGGACAAGGGACTTGAATAGACATTTCTGCAAAGAAGATGCAGACAGATGGTCAATAAGCACAAGAAACGATGCTCAACATCATTAGTCGTTAAGGAAATGCAAGTCAAATCCACAATGAGAAACCAGCTTCACACCGTTTAGGATATAAACAACAACAACAGAGGCAGAAAACAAGTGCTGGCATGGGTGTGGAGGACCCTGATACATTGCTGGTGGGAATGGGAAATGATGCAGCTGCTAAGGAAAACACTCGGGTGGGTCCTCAAAAAGTTACACGTAGAATTACTATATGCAGCAATTACACTCCTAAAAGAATTAAAAGCAAAGACTCAGAGACTTGCCTGCTGTGATTCATAGCAGCATTATTCACAATAGCCAAAAGGTGTAAACAACCCAGTGCCCATCAACGTAGATAAACAAGGGGCACCTGGGTGGCTCAGTTGGTTAAGCGTCTGCCTTTGGCTCAGGTCCTGATCCCAGGGTGTTGGGATCGAGTCCCGCATCAGGCTCTTTGCTCAGCAGGGAGCCTGCTTCTCCCTCTGCCTTTCGCTCCCCCTGCTTGTGCTCTCTCTGACAAATAAAATCTTAAAAAAAAAAAGATAAACAGAATGTAGTATATATACAATGGAATATGGTTCAGCCATAAAAAGGAATGAAGTTCTGCCATGCTACACTATGGATGAACCTTGAGGACGTTATGCTAAGTAAAAGAACCCAGACCCAAAAGGACAAATGCATGATTCCACTTGTATGAGGTACCTAGGATAGGCAAATTATTGAGATAGAAAGTACAACAGAGATTATCAGGGGCTGGTTGGGGGAGGAGGAATGGGGAGAGATTGCTTAATGAGTACAGGATTTGTTTGGGATGATGAAAAATTTCTGGAACTGGACAGTGGTGATAGTTGCACGGCCTTGTGAATGTACTGAGTGTCACTTAATTTTATACTTAAAAATGGTTACAATGTAAACTCTGTGTACTGTATGTATTTACCACAATTTTAAATGTATAAAATAATATTTAAAATGTATTATTTCTTTACAGTTTTATTGAGAAATAGCTGACATTGATTATTTTTTAACAGGAGGGGTCAGTGTGGTCCAAGGAGGCTGAGCAGTCAGCTAAGATGAGAGCTGAGAAGCCAGGGCAGGACCCAGTGGCATGGAGGTGGGCAAGGACCTTGGTGAAAGCAGTGTCATCTAAGGCCAGATGGCAGGGAGCTGGCGGTAGGAGTAGGGGGTGAATATATTCTCTCCAAGTCTGAGATTAGGAAGTCAGAGCTGGGAACCCTAGGAAGTCTTTGATCAGTTCCAACCCCTCAATGACAGATGGAGAAACTGAGGCCCAGAGAGGAGTAGGGGCGATCCCAGGATTCCAGAGCAAGTCAGGGCCAGACCTAGACCTCCTACAGTGCCCCATGGCCTCTTCCCACCTCCCCATTTACCACTGCTGTCCCTTCCCCAATCACCCAGCGTGGGTGCTTAGCTCAGCCCAGCATCTCTCTCACTCACTTGCTTCTTGTTGTGGGGATGGGACGTTTCTTGTCTTTGAAACAGAAGTTCATGGTGCTTGTCCCCTTATGAGGTCCAAATTGTCCAGGGGCGGTGGAGAGCTATGGTGACAGGGACTGAGATCTTGTGGGTGGGCAAAGGGGCACAGAGTCCCATCTTGGCCACAGACCTTGTGAATGTCGCTGGACTCAGTTTCCTCATTTCCTCAGTGAAGGGTCAGAACAGAGCATGGTGTAGCAGAAAGAATAAGGATTTGGGGGTGAGAGGTGCCAAGTTAAAATTCTGTTCTGCCTCTTACTAGCTGTGTAACACTAGGCAAGGAATTTTATGTCTGAGTATTTGAGTTCACATCTGTAAAATGGGAATAGTAAGTCCTATGCGAGAGCTGACCTAAGCCCCCAACCTCCTGTAGGCTGGGGGTATCTTGCTGAGCCCTGGGGTAGGGGCCGGGGAGGAAACCCACCTGCACAGAACACACCCTTCACTCCACTTCTGAATAGCAGAACACGCACTTGCTGGTCCTCCCGTAGCTGGGCCAGAGCTTCCAGCAGCTGCAGAGGAGACCTTGTCAGAAACCTCCCAGCCCAGCCCCGGCCCAGCAACCCTGCACCCACTCCAGGGTCTGCCCTTTCTCACCTCGCTGACCAAGATGTTCCCCAGGGCATTGCGGGCACTCGGTCTATTCATCAGAATCTCAGTGATTCCTGCAGGTGACAGGGCAGGCTTGGGTGAGCCAGTAGGCCTGCAGCCTGGGTTCTGGGCAACCTCTACCCTTCATGAGCACTATGACTTCAGGCAAGTCACACACACCCAGGCTTCAATTTCCCTGACTATAAAATGGAGAGAATAACCCCTTATTCTTTCTGCCTCGCAGAACCGGAAGAGCTTGTAAACCCCATGGATCGGTCTTTCTCCTGTACCCTTTGTGAGCAAATGCTCTATCAACCCAGGAGTCTGTCCTGTTGCTCCCTCTTCTTTACCCATGAAATTTACTCATTCTCCTTGACCAATTCAGCCTCTTTTTTTTTTTTAATTTTTATTTATTTATTTGACAGAGAGAGACAGCGAGAGAGGGAACACAAGCAGGGGGAGTGGGAGAGGGAGAAGCAGGCCCCCCACTGAGCAGGGAGCCCGATGCGGGGCTCGATCCCAGGACCCTGGGATCACGACCCGAGCCGAAGGCAGACGCTCAACAACTGAGCCACCCAGGCGCCCCCCAATTCAGCCTCTTAAATAGATCTCAGATCTTTTGGCTAATATCCCTCTCTGCAGCCAGTAACCTGGTATGGGCTCTCTTCTACTACATGAATCACCCAACTGGCCCTCTTGCCTTCAGTCTCGCTCATCCTACCCCACTCCACATTCATTCCGTCATTTGGGTCCGAATCCTCTTTCTAACCCAAATCCAGCCATGTCCCTCCCTTTCTCTTTTCACCAAAATTAAGTCAAATTCCTTAATACCACCCAAAAGATGCCCCCCTTCCCCAATCTGGCCATTGCTTCCCACTCTAGCCTCAACTCACCCCCACAATAGGGGCCAGTTGTAGGGAAGAGAGACAGGCTCTGGGCAAGGGCTCAAATACTCTTACACCTTCTTGGCTGTTTTCCCTCCTGTGTTTACCAATCCTTTAGCCTTCAAAGGCCTCTTATTATTTTATCCCAGGGTTCTTAGCCTTGTCTGTGGAATAAGCAGTATTTATTAAGATGGCATTCTCAGTGTGAGTTGATTTGTGACACAGGGAAGGGACAATGAAAGTTTCAGGGCTCTCAAGGGACAGAGTTTCCAGCCAGGGGTTAGAGAACTGTGGTTCAGGACAGAAAACCATAACATTCAGACTAGGTGGGCTCCTTAGCCTCCCTAGAAACCTTCAAAAAGTTCTTTGAGCCCAGCAGGCCTGGAGGTCTCACAGAACTCAGATGTGCCCAAGGTCTTCGCCAGCTCTAGTGCTCCAGAAAAGAAAATGCTGCAACTTTGGGGAAGGGAAACTCTGGTAGATAGAGAAAAACCATGTCAGAGTGTAGAGGTCCAAGGTCTTTGTGGCAGACAGACCCTAGACTGGGCCCAATCTTCATATCCTCAATAATCTTCCCTGGAGTGTGGGCAGGAGAATTGCTTCTAACCAACAGAATGCAGCTAAGATCATAAAATGTCACTTCCAAGATTGGGGTTCAATTATATGGCAGAGGTGGTGAGGTGTTAGTTCCATGATTAGGATACAATGTATGTAAGACTCTGTCTTGCTAGGGTACACTAAACAAACTAGTGGCCTACAGAGAGGGTCATGTGGCAAGGAACTAGAGGCAGCCCCCAGGAGCTGAAAATGGCCCCCAGGCCAAGAGGAAGAAAACAGGGCTTCAGTCCTACAACCATAGGAGGTGAATTCTATCAACAGGAGAAGCTTGGAAGCAGATCTCTCCTCAGTCAAGCCTATGATGAGACCACAGCCCTGGCCAACTCCTGGATTGCAGCTCAGTAAAACCCTGAAGCAGAGAACCTGGCTAAGTTTTGCTTGGACTTCTCACTTACGGAAGGTATAAGATAATAAATGTGTATTATTTTAATAAAGCAATAAAGTTTGTGGTAATTTATTATGTGGCAATAGAAAACTATCATGGTCATGACGTTCTGAGATTGATAGAAACTTTCTCCTCTTCACTTTCCTGTTGTCTCCTTTCTTGCTGGCTGTCTCCCATATTTCATCTCTATCTGTTCTCTCCATCTTTATCTCCTCTCTGCAGAATACAAATAGGGTACTTGGCTCAAGTCACAGCTTAGCCATTGGCCTTGGGCAAGTTGCTTTACTCTTCTGGCCTTCAATTTCCTGATCCATAAATAGAAATAATAAAAAGGCTGTTATGAGGATTTAAAGAAATAATGCCTTGGGGCACCTGGCTGGCTCAGTTGGTAGAGCATGAGACTCTTACTTAATCTTGAGGTTGTAAGTTCAAACCCCACACTGGGTGTACAGAGTACTTAAAATCTCAAAAAAAAGGGGGAAAAAGATAATTTCCCATAAGTGCTTAGCCAGAGTTTGTGGGTACAGTGAGCAGGAAAAAGGCATAGATGCTAGGGAAAATTCCAGGATTCAATAGAAGGAAAGAATTTAAAGCTGGGTGCTGTGAGGAGCCAGACAAGGCGTCTTTGGCTTTCATTCAATTTGTACTATTCCGTGTCAGGTCCTGGAGAAATAAGAGAGGACTCAGCCATGGTCCTTAAGTTTTTAGTTGAGCCCTGATTCTGAGAACATTGCCCTTACGGGACCTCTGCAGTGGGGATAGGTTTGTACCACACCATCTCCACTCTTACCAAACCTACCATGCCACTGGCTAATAATTTCCTTAGCAGCTGACCTCAGGTCACTTATGTCTGGATGGCCTAAATCACAGGCTAGTTACGTAATGTAGGTGGGAGTTGTAGGGGCCATGGGCAGGCTGCTTTGGGTCACTTTGGCATGAAGATTATTTGAGTTAAAAAGCAATCAAACCCAGCAGACTCAGGAAAAGCTCTTTACCTCCCCCACAACTGCCTAAAAAGAATTTAGATAGAGGATCTGATCCGGGAAGAGAGCTATCACCACAGATAACTACATTACTATGAACTAGGTATGGTAGCCCGGGAGGAACCTAGCAAGACCTGTTTTTTTTGTTTGTTTGTTTTTTAAGATTTATTTGCTTGAGGGGCATCTGGGTGGCCCAGTTGGTTAAGCGTCTGGCTTTGGCTCAGGTCATGGTCTCGGGGTCCTGGGATTCAGCTGGAGTCGGGCTCCCTGCTCAGTAAGGAGTCTGCTTCTCCCTCTCCCTCTTCGGCTTCTTCCCCCACTCGTGCTCGCTCTCTCAAATAAATGAAATCTTTTTAAAAAAGATCTTAGAAGTAATAAGATAAAAAGGTTTATTTATTTGAGAGGGAGAGCTCGGGAGAGCAAGCAGGGGGGCGGGGCAGAGGGAGAGGGAGAGAAAGTCTTAAGCAGACTCCTTGCTGAGTGCTGAGCCTGAGCTGAAACCAAGACTCAGAAGTTTAACCCCTTAACTGACTGTGCCACCCAAGGCACTCCATGGCCTGTTTGATCAAAGTTCTCTATGTCCCTATTGTTTCTGGGTGGCCCAGCAAACATTTGTTTACCAAACATTTACTCCTTTTAGATTCCTGTGAATTGCATTCCCTCCCTCTGAAGTCCCAGACCCCTACCCTCTTCTCCTTAGTTTATAAGAGTGACATATATATCTCATTTTGCCTGTTTTTGGAATTTCCATTCTGTGTGAATTCCCTGTACACACAAAATTAAATTTTATTTTCTCCTGTGTGAATTCTCATGTCAATTTAGTCCAGCTAGAAAGATCTTGAAGGGGACAGAAAATTCTTGCTCCCTGAAAGTCAATAGAGAGCTTTCTCTGTATCTTCACTTAATAAACTTCTCTCCAGGGGCGCCTGGGTGGCTCAGTCGTTAAGCGTCTGCCTTCGGCTCAGGTCATGATCCCAGCGTCCTGGGATCGAGCCCCACATCGGGCTTCCTGCTCGTGGGAAGCCTGTTTCTCCCTCTCCCGCTCCCCAGCTTGTGTTCCCTCTCTCGCTGTGTCTCTCTCTGTCAAATGAATAAATAAAATCTTTAAAAAAATAAAGTTCTCTCCGTTGTCAAAACAAACAAAAACAAAACAAAAAAACCTTAGACTCAAGCAGGGAAAAAAGGAAGAAATAAATAGAAGATGTATAGTAGGACACCATCTATGTACATTGGCTCAGTTGGTTAAGCGACTGCCATTCGGGTCAGGTCATGATCTGGGAGTCCTGGGATCAAGTCCCACATCGGGCTCCCGGCTCACTGGGGAGCCTGCTTCTCCCTCTGACCCTATCCCCTCTCATCCTGTCTCTCTCTCTCTCTCAAATAGATAAATAAAATCTTTAAAAAAAAACTATGTAAATTAAAACACAAACTATGTTACATCAAATTTAGGGAGAGGGGTTGGGATTGGGGAGAAAGTAAAGCCAAGAAAATGGCCTTGCCTTGATGTAACAGGCAGCGGACTGAGGCGTGTGAGTAACGCCACTGAATGCACTTTGGTCTCCTCTCACCCCCCAAAAAACAACAGAACAGGTGCAATCGGAAAATGTTTTCTGCTGAGGGAGCAGAAGGCAAGCTGAGGGCAAAGCACAAGCTAACACGCGGCAGCCTCCCCCGCAACCCCCGCCGGCCCAGGTGGAAAATGTGTGACATTCGTCAGGGACTCCTGGCTGCCCCAGCACAAACGAAAGGGAAAAAAATGGTTAACTGATAGGGATCACAGTCCCGCAGGACTTGAGTCTCCAGCAGTTTGCAACTGTCTTAATGATTTCTAAAAAAAAAGCGATCTCCAGAAACGTATAGCTTCCTGAAGCCCTAACATTACCCACCCCTCCATAGGACAGAAAATCTTACATAATCAGTCACTCCTCACAACCCCAGGGCGCTTTCTGCCCGCGGGTCCTGTCCCTGCGCTTTAATAAAACCACTTTTTGCACCGAATTCGCATCCAGAATTCTTTCTTGGCCATAGGTTCCAAACCACGTCACCAGGGTCCAGCGGGAACTTCCTCTTTGACTCAAAAAGGCACAAAAGTCGGCCAGCGTGGGCAGGGCCAGAGCGCAAGGAGCCGTGAGCAGCTGACGCCCCATCCTCTGCTCTCCTCTCCCCCCTACTCGGCCCTGCCTGGCCAGCGGGATTGGCTCCGCCGCCTGCCCCCTGGAACAGAGCCGGGACTCTAGGCCGGGACGGACAACTGGCCTTTTAAAGTTACTGGGGTGGAAGCGGTGGGTCGCTCGTGCCTCGTCCTATCCCTGCGCGAGTTCCCCTCCCCACCTTCACAGCCCCAGGCCACCGAATGGGGACTGAAGGGACTTTGGTTGACGTAGAGTCCCACCGCAATTAGGGGTCGGGGCGGCTGGCAAGGTGGTCACCCACCTCCCCGGCCTTACGAAAGGCTTGGGGAGCCTTGACTGGGAAACCGCAGCCGGGGATCAAATCCTCAAAGGCCGCGAGCGGCCCGCCTTCCCCTTACTGGTCTGTCTTCCCGCGTGTCGTGGGCGCGCTGGCCATGGCTCCCGCGCCTCCTGGGCGCTCCCTGGGACAGCGCAGTTATACCTTGGTCGCTGCCGGTCAGGGCGCGCACTTGGATCTCCGGATCTCCGGTAGCTCCGTGGGAGGCGCAGCTGCGGGTGCGAAGGGGCCTCCAGGGGCATGGAAGGCGCAGGGTGCTGGTCAGGGCGCGCAGCATCTGGGCACAGGCTGGGAAGGTGCCAAGAGCCCCTCCACTACTCCGTCCACTGCCGGGGAAAGCTCGCAGCTGGGCCGCCGGTTTTCGCAACTGCTCCACCTCCAGGCGCAGAGCCCAAAGCGGTTCTCTACGCCTCTCGCCTTTTAGAGACTTGGAGTCCTGGCTAGGCGAAGCCCACCCAGCTCCGCTGAGCGACTGGGGGCAAGGATGTCAACCTCTTTAAGTGTCAGTGTTGTCATCAGTAAAGCGGGGATCCTAATAGTGACTACTGTCAAAGATAAAGGGGGAGGCTGGTTATAGGTTTTACTCAGTAATATAAAATATACTACGGCAAAAGGGACTATCCAGTGTGAACTGAACCCGAACTTTTTTTTTTTAAGATTTTTAAAATTTACTTGACACACACAGAGAGAGAGAGACAGAGAGACAGAGAGACAAGTAGGCAGAGAGCAGGCAGAGGGAGAGGGAGAAGCAGCCTCCCCTTCTGAGCGGAGAGCCCGAGGCAGGGCTCGATCCTGGATCTTGATCTGAGCGGAAGGCAGATGCTTAACCAAAGGAGCTCAAACTTCCGTTTGTACAGAGGGGGCTGAGAGTTTTAAAGGGAGAAGAAGGGAATATGGAGGTGGGTGAACCGGGCCTGTATAATAGAATCAGGGAAGTGAAAAATTACAAAAATCATGGAACGCGTTTGGCCAGGTATAACCTACCTGGGTCAGTTAAGGGAGGCTTATCCAAAATTTAGGCTCCCACAGGGCGGGGTGGAGGTTTGGGTTGGGGGGTTGTCTTCAGGTGTTGGCTGGAACAAGCAGTAAATTCTTTTGGCAGTGTTGACCTTAAAAATAAAAGTTATTTTACCAGCAAAAATAGGTTTATTTGGGAATAGCAGAGAATTGCAATTTGAGACAAACAAGCCACAGGATACAACCATAGATTAGTCCAACAGAGGAAAGAAGTTGGGAGGGGTTGTTTTGAAACTAAAACCCACTGGAGAAAAACAAGAGTTCAGGGTGACAGGGTTTCTCATCCGCTGAGCTGCTGACCTACTGGATTTCTTAAGGAGATACAATGTACATCCTCTCTTGATGGCTCTATAATTGACAATTCTTCCTGTGATTGATGTCCAGTGGTATGGCACCGGAGCTCAGCCTTCCAGCCTCCTGACTGCATTTTAGTAAGGTTTCTCTCTCTCTCTCTTTTTTTTTTTATAACAATGTTTTATTTGGTTTTGTTTTACAGGGAAAATCAACACCAATATACTCAAAGTTTCTCTTTATTAATTTCTATAGCTGGCTTATATTTCTCATGCAGGCACTTTAAGGGGGGCTAGGGTCATCTTAGGAATGTGGCCTGGAGTTGCTAGAAACTATATTAGTGTTTAAGTCTTTGTAGGTCAAGGTTGAGGCCTAGTAGAGGAGTGTGGCTAGAGTTTGGTGAGGCTTAGAGGAGTGTAGCTAGAGTTCGGTGAAGAGTATCTTTGTTACTATGTCATGGTGGTGTTATGATGACTGAATGGGGGGGGGTTGTGAACCTTGCTTACATAAATGCCCAATAAATGTTATTTCATTTTTAAAATGTCATTTCACTTATTCATTCTGGCATTGTCTGCATTCATGGACTTCACTCCCTCACTGCTCAGTTATGCTTCAATCATCCCAATTTTATGCTCAATAATTAGATTGAAAAAATATTTGTGAATGTGAGTCCCTAGCTTCTGCTCCACTATCTACCCAAACTGCTTGTGCAGAAGTTGCCCCGTTTAGTTCATTCTGGGTGGATCAATAAAGAGTATTCAGTGCACACTCTCCCGCCTCCACCTTCCACTTGTTAATGACCCCAAAGTCACTAACAATCCACACCTCCAACCAATGGCTGGACTGTTAGGTGATCTAGAAATAAAATCTTCTCTTTTTAAAGCCATTGGTGCTTGCTGGGGTCATCACTATGTCCATTAAGGTTTAAACAAAAATGGGCTCTCATCTCCTTCCTGGGTCTAATGGGAAAATCTAAGTTCCTCTCTGTGACCTAAAATAGTAATTGGGGTTTATAGCAGTCCTAGTCATTTTTGATCCCTTGCCTTTGCTTCCAATGAATTAATTGTTATGGATCATCTGTCCATCCTTCTGTGTCCCTTTTCTATATATTCCTGGACACAACTCTAATTCTTTCACTCCTTAAATAATAGACTGCATAAGAAAGAAAGGCTGAGGAGCGACTGTGGGACTCCACTTCTCATACTTAATGAGGTTAATGCTCACTGTTATGGACTGAGTTATGTCCCCCCTAAATTCATATGTTGAAGGCCTATTCCCTACTATATCACAATGTGACTGTGTTTGGAGATAGGGTCTTTAAAAAGTAATTAAGGGGCGCCTGGGTGGCTCAGATGGCTAGGCATCTGCCTTCGGCTCAGGTCATGATCCCAGGGTCCTGGGATCGAGCCCTGCATCAGGCTCTCTGCTCAGTGGGGAGCCTGCTTCTCCCTCTGCCTGATGCTCCCCGTTTGTGCTCTCTCTCTCTCTCTCTGTCAAATAAATAAATAAAATCTTTAAAAAAAAATAAAAAGGTAATTAAGTTAAAATGATGTCATTAGGGTAGAACTTCATCCAATATGACTGATGTCCTTGCAAGAAGTGGAGATTTGGACACAGATAAGTAGACAGGATAGACCATGTGAAGACAAAGGGAGAAGACAGCCATTTGCAAGCCATGGAGGGGGCCTCAGACAAAATCAGCTCTGCTGCCACCTTCGTCTCACACTTCTGGCTTCTAGAACGGTGAAAAAACACATTTCTGTTGTTCAAGTGACCCAATCTATAGTACTTTATTATGACAGCACTAGCAAACTAATACACCAATCACAGAATTTCTTTGTTAAGAGGAGATCTGGTGCCTGGTTTTTAAAATAACAAGGTGCCCCCCTTCCTCTACATTATTTTTGTTCCTGGGACTCCAAGGAAAATCAGCAGAGGGGCAATGGGGATGGAACAGTGGTAATAACAAGTGGTAATAACAATATGGCTATCAGTAATAATATTTTTGTCCTTTTTAATCCTGCTGGTTTTAAGCATAAGTAATTCCTCAGTAATCTCTTCTGAATTATAAGTTTTTAAAACTATTGTTTTAGGGCGCCTGGGTGGCTCAGATGGTTAAGCGTCTGCCTTCGGCTCAGGTCATGATCCCAGGGTCCTGGGATCGAGTCCCGCATCGGGCTCCCTGCTCCTTGGGAGCCTGCTTCTCCCTCTGCTTCTCTCTCTCTCTCTCCCTCTCTCTCTCATGAATAAATAAATAAAATCTTAAAAAAAAATAAATAAAAAAAATAAAACTATTGTTTTAGGGGCACCTGGGTGGCTCGGTTGGTTAAGCGTCTGCCTTCGGCTCAGGTCATGATCCCAGGGTCCTAGGATCGAGTCCCGCATCAGGCTCCCTGCTCAGCGGGGAGCCTGCTTCTCCCTCTGCCTGCCACTCTGCCTACTTGTGTTCTCTCTCCCACTCTCTCTCTCTGTCAAATAAATAAAATCTTAAAAAAAATAAAACTATTGTTTTAGTTATAAAAGAATATATGCAAATACTCTCACATTGCCGTAGGAATGTCTTTAATGGAGAGGAATTGGCAATATATATCAGAATTATAAATCATCTCCTTTTTGACCCACAAATTCCATTTTTAGGAATTTAACCTATAGACATACCCACACAGGTGTGCAATGATACATGCACATTGCAGCACGCTATATAATAGCAAAAGACTGAAAACCATCATTTTTTTTAAGATTATATTTATTTATTTGACAGAGACAGAGAACATAAGCAGGGGGAATGGCAGACAGAGAAAGAGGGAGAAGCAGGCTCCCTGCTGAGCAAGGAGCGTGATGAGGGACTCGATCCCAGGACCCTGGGATCATGACCTGAGCCGAAGGCAGATGCTTAACGACTGAGCCACCCAGGCACCACCGAAAACCATCTTATTATCCACCAATAGGGGAATGGTTAAATAAAGTATGGTACATCCATAAACTGAACACTAGGAAGTTATTAGAAACACACACACACACACACACACAAGCAGCTCTTTATGCACTGATATATTCTTCAAAATCTATTGTTGTATGAAAAATTTAAGATGTGAAATAGCATGTAAAGAAAGCTAAAATGTGTGTTATAGAGGGGGATACCACCACTCAGGTGTGCATGTACAACCAACATTACTTGGTTGTAGTTACATAAAATATTTCTAGGATAGGGAGAGGAACTGGGAAACTGGGAATAGGGGTGGGAGGGAGAATTTTGGCAGTTTGACCTTTTGTACTTTTTGAATCTTGATTCATGTGTTGAGTATTATCTACCCCCAAAATAAGTAAAATGAAAACAAAACACAATGACAAAAATTAAAGACATGATACAGTAAAAATAAAAGTAATACACAGGGGCACCTGGGTGGCTTGGTGGGTTGAGCACCTGCCTTCGGCTCACGTCATGATCTTAGGGTCCTGGAGTCCTGTGATCAAGCCCCATGTCGGGCTCCCTGCTCAATGGGGAGTCTGCTTCTCCCTCTGCCCCTCCCCCCCAGCTCATGCTCTCTCTCTCTCTCTCTCAAATAGTCTTAAAAAAGTAATACACAAAGTCAAAACATTCAAACAGTACAGATGGGTATAAAATTAAAAGAAAAAACGCCCCTCCTCCATACTGTATGCATTTAAAAGAATTATTTATTGCATTTTATCCAGCATTTCTGAGTGTTTCTTGGCAGGAAAAAAATTCTTTTTAAAGATTTATTTATTTGAGAGAGAGCGAGAGAGTGCATGTGAGCAGGGGGTTGGTTGGGCATAGGGAGATGGAGAGGAGAATCCTCAAGCAGACTCCCCGCTGAGCATGGAGTCCAATGTGGTGCTTGATTCCAGGACCCTGAGATCATGATCCAAGCCAAAATCAAGAGCCAGCAGCTCAACCAACTCCTAGGTGCCCTGGCAGGAGAAGTTTTTGATTATCTAGTCCTCCACATTGAAAATGGAAATGTTCTTTCCCAATCTTTTCGGCATTAACGGCAACTTTTATTATCTTACTAGTCCCTCTCCACTTCCATGGACTTCTATTTTGTTTTTTTTT